TATCAGTTCTTTACAGAGGCAACCATTCTGGAGAGCTGCTGAAGTTCATTAAGCCATGGCCATCTTCCAAACAGAACCTCAGTCCTTCCTCTGTAAGTTCAAAGGCCAAGCTACAGGGTCTGTTATGCTTGGTATAGCCCAATCTTCTGTGATCATGTGGTCTCCTAATGGTCAGGGTTGGGGCCAACAGAGGCCAGGAAAACCAGCAGAAGGGAAAAGTCCCACATCTATTTTTTTCCTACCTTAGAAGGTCTTTCCCAGTACTGGAAAGAACGTGTGCTAAATAAGAACTTACCCAAAGGGATCCACCAAGTCTCTCTTGCCTCTTGGCATCCATTCACCTTTCTAAAGGTACGCAGTACTTCCTAACTCACTTGCTAACTTGCTTCCTACGGTCCTCTACCCCCCCCACCTGCAACTCCCACTTCCCCACCCCCACCCCCATCCCACTGGATTTTTTTTCCTTTATAGCTACTGGCTAGTATTTTGGCCAGCTGGAGGAATGAGGCTTGAAGATTTTCATGCAGGGAAGCTCTGCAGATCCACTTAGCTGAAAGGTCAGAAATAAAAACATGGAGAATTTTCCAGGCTTTACAGGAACCAAGGAAATGCATAAAAGGACAGCCTGCCATCACTCCTTTTACCACGTCTACTTAGAGCAAGTAAGCTAGGCACTATTGTCTAGGTGCCCGCAAACTCTCCAGGCTACTTCCAGGCAGAATGAGCTCTGGAAACCGCAGCTCCTGTTTCCTAGTGTCCTGCTCCGCTCCCAGCAATGATAACAATTTGGAGAAAATGGCTGCACCTGTCTTCCCCACTCATTTCAGAATTGAGAGAGAGCAGAAGAGTGGACACAGGGAGGGGGGGTCGCCTCAGAATTAAAATGCCTTTCAAACCAATTTGACTTATGGTTTGCTATGATCAAAATCCTCTTCCAATTCCAGGGATTGCCCAGAAGGCCACAAGTGTAAAACTAGTACCCCTTTTAGCACGTCTAACCATTTAGTAACATGTGAACAGAAGTAGCTATCCATCTCCAGGGTCAGCTGCCCACTGTCAGCAATAAAGCCACAGCACTGGTGGTCATCCCGCAGGGCGGTACCCATCGTGAGCATCTGTCTGGCCCCTGCCCTTGACCTTTGGAAGATTCGGGCACACTGAAGCTCCTGCTGTTGACCACTAGGATTGTTTCATGCTAGATGTGAATCAGAGGGAGACTAACTAAGAAGCTTAAACTAACTGGAACATGAGTTTGGAAACTAGTGAGATATCGTCACTTAAGGTTCCACACTGCAAGAATAGACCCAGGTTCTGCTCTGACACGGCACAATTTACTGGTGATTTTATGGTGAAAAGTCCATCTTGATTTATTCCGAAATTCAGTTACAATATTGCTGATCCAACTTACATGCAATTCTTTTACTGGTTTTCTTCACACTTTTGTTGAGGGCCTGGGGAAAGCAATGAATATTCAGCATATGAAGTAGAGTAGATCTGATTTGGTTTTGGTTTTGTTTTCCCAAAGATGGGCCTCAGGAATGCCACAATTCTTGGAAAAAACAAATTAAACAATAGGCCATGGATGGTCATTTTCTAAACAGGACGAAACCAAAAGTTTTGTCATCTCACAATTCATTGAAACATTCCAGATCCTTCTCGGTTTCAGTACTCTAAATCATGTCCTTTACAACTTTTTTTTTACACTCGATGCATTAGGGCAAAAACTTCTAGCCTGATACGAACTTCGAACTAACACAGCAATAGTATTCTATAGTTTCAGGTTATGGATGGATTGGTGGAAGAGATTTTTCAGAACATGCCCCTGAGAAAAATCTGAAGCGGGGGAGAGTGTGGGCAAAGCTGGGCCCACAGATACAGAAAAGGACTCAAAGCAAGCAAACAAAGTGAGGTTCCATTCCACGGTGGCCCACCCTTCATGCGACGGCCAGTGGAACACACGCACCAGTTACGGTATTTGCCAAAAGTTGCGTGGCGGTTTTGAGGTTTGTATTTCTGGTGGTGTGAGGTATCCCTTCCCTGCTCGATTATACAGCTCCGGCCCAGCGTTGCCAACCACAAAATGCTAAACAAACACCTTAAAAAACAAACACTGGCTCTCACTTCTGTTCTCTGTCTGCCTCTCTCTGCCTCTGTCTCTCTAGGATGTCCCCATTCTTTTTGGGGTTCACCCCAGTAAATCTCTTCCTCTGGATGCAATACGACGATCATTTTGTTTAAAAACAATCAATGGAATGACTGACAGAGGTTGTTTCTCAGGGGCTTGTGAAAGCAGTAGGTTTTCAATTAGATTTCAAAAGCATTTCCGTCTATGCTTCAGTTTCATCTAAGAAAGACAGTCCCTGGACCTGGGGAATCGAAAATCAGAGACGCTAGTGCGTGCCACGTGATGATCGTAAAGGCAGACACCTTTCCTTGTACAGCCAGGGTCACTGGGTGGTAGAGACCAGAAGAGACACTGAGCTGTGTGTTCCTGGAGAGCTATGGGAAGAGGTGGCAGGAACCTGGTAGCCCACTGTGGTGAGTCACAGAAGCCCTTGGGGGAGTCTTCAAGTCTCTCTCGGTTTGTCACGACTGAGCAAGCATCCTCTGTCCATGGAAGCAAGGATAAAGAGGGGCTTCCAATCTCTGCATCACCGCCCATCTCCCCGGCCACACAGGCCTATCATTTGAATGGAGAACTTAAGATTTTCACGTCTGTTCCCATAGTTGTAGTCAATATCAGACAAAACACAGGCTTTTCTTTTCATTTTCAAATTAAAAAAATGTGATGAAACACATATGACACAAACTTTTTCATCTTGCAAAACTGAAATTCTGTACCCATGAAACAATGACCTAGTCTCCCTCCTCCGGTGTCTGGCAAGCATTATTCCAACACTCTGTCTCTAAACTCTGACTATTCGTGACATGTTATATAAGTGGAACAGAACGGCATCCTTGGGGCTCACCCATGTCGCACCTGTCAGGCTCTCTACCTTTTATGGACTCAATAATATCCCACTGGATGCATGTGGTACATTTCTAACTTCCCTTCCCCGCCCACGAACACTTGGGAGGTTACTGTTAATATCGATGCTGTTAGCATGGGTTCAAATGTGTGTGCGATTCTCTGTTTTCAGGCCTTTGGGACAAATAGCCCAAAGGGGAAGTGTGTCACATGGCAATTCTTTCCAACCTGCTGAAGGGATTTGCATACTACTGTCTCCCTGTTTCCCAGCAGTCCTCTGTTCAACTGTTGGGACCAGCCACTCTAAGATTTGCATCTAGGAAGAGAGTCAAGTCAGCTAGCCTTAATTCATAGAAGTGCCCTACATCCACCGCACTTTTCTGGGTGACGGGAGTCACAAGTTGGGTCAGTTGTAACAAACTGAAGGAGACTGGAAGAGTACGCAAGAGCTTTGGTGACTCACCACAGTGGACTACCAAGTTCTTGCCACTTCCTTCCACTGTCAGAGGGAAGGGAGAGACCAAGTGGCTTCCATGTGTTCTGAGATGCCATGTGTGCTTGAGACTTGAGGAGAGATGTCTTGCCCCGCCTCCCTCACCCCACCACCCCATTCTTTCCGTACAGATTGTGCTAAGGTTCTGCTGATACAGGCTTCTGAGAACCCCTTCTGGGACTGACCCCCACACAGGCCTTGGAATTGCTTTTCCATTTTTAGTCTTCTTTCCTAGGATCTGAAGAGGCTCTAGGCAAAGGTCTTTGTATGTATATTTCTGCTCATGTTCGCATGCTCCTCTCCAGTAGGGAAAACACGGATGTTAATCGCTGCCTCCATCAGAAACTCAGCCCTGCACCAGATCAGCATGGAAGTGGGCTTTCTGAACTTAGGAAGACCACAGCCTTATCCAACCTGCAGTGGGCACCGGAACTTTCCTGAGAGTCCAGCTAGCTGGACATAAACCAAGATCAACATCTACGAGGTGAGATCAGCATTGGGTTTTCACAGAAAAGAATGAAGAAACCAGGCTGTCCCCACCCCTTCACATCTCCACCTAAAGAAAAACAATCTCTCCCTGCCTCTGGCCAGAAAGCGTGGAAGAAGGTAGACCTGGTGGATGTGTATGTCAGCCCTCAGCTCTGGGGGAGGGACTGAGGGCTCAGGCCTTTACCTCTGGCCTCAGTTCCTTTCCCCATGAAGGAGAGAAGGAGCAAATAACCTTGCCTGGCAATGAGAAACATTCCTAAACAAACAAACAAAACCCTAGTAAACTGCTAATCGCCTAGCGTAGAGAGGAGGCAACTTCAAAGTTCAGACTTAGCTCAATGCTTAGATTTGTGGAAACAAATCCAACTTCAAAATTCAGACTTAGCTCAATGCTCAGGTTTGTGGGAACAAATCCAACTCTTACCCCCTCTGCATCTTCAATGAGATAATGGCCTCTTGTCCATCATCTCCCCCACAGCTACCTGTCTTCCGGCTCTCTCTCCCTTTTCTCCTCCTACGTGGACCTCCCCAGCTCCTTCTGCCTGGAGAGCTTGCTTAGCACATGTGTTTGCAATGCCCTTTCTTGCTTTTCATGTTTCTGCCTCCTCCTCTAAACTCAATCCAGAACCATCTCTTTTGTACCACCCACAAAGGCAGGCACGCTGCTAGGCACATGTTCCAGACACATGGTTGCTGCTCGCTGAAGGAGGTGGAGATAGCTGGACTCAACAAACCTGCTTTCTTGGAAGCATTCACCCTTCCGAGCAACCACCTCGTGATCATCCAAGAGGCATCTCGGGCTGAGCAGTGTGTGGTTAGCGGCTCCCGGAGCCCTTGGCCTGTGAAATACGGGAAGCAGGCGTGCACTGTGTGCACAGCCATTCCAATAATAGCTTCGGATGGAGAGGATGGGTGAATGCCGTGACTCACGTCCCCGGTGCATGCACGTCTGTCTCAGAGGCAGAGGGCTGTAGGCTGTGGGCTGTGGGCAGGACTCTTTCTCTATTCAGTGTGTGTGTGCGGTGGGGGGAGGGGCGCTACCTGGGAAGATCAGGAAATGGGCAGAGTACACCCTGGAGCCCTGGAGCTTGAAGGGTACAAGGTCAGCTGCACTGACTCACCCAGGAAGGTGAGAGGGCAATGACCAAATATGAAGCGAGCTGCCTGTCAGGGAAGCCCTTAGAGGAACAGGAAGTGGGATCAGCTGGTAAGAAGCTCAGAAAAGAAAACTCCACTTGACTTTCTGCTTTTGTTCTCTGTTCTCACTGTTTATCAAGAGGAGCATTTGCTGAGCATTGCACCACGGTACTGAGTCACTCCCACCCCCTGGTTGGAGGGTGCTATTCTGTCTGGGCCTGTAGATAGGTAGAATCCCAGTGAGTGTGTGGAAGAGGTGCAGGATTCGGGGTGGGGGTCTTATCATCAGTGTCTTTCCCAGGCTCATTGCTGGAGCTAACGTGTATCTACTGAACCTCAGGCTCAGCTTTCTCGATAATGCCTAGCCCAAAGGGAGCTTGCTGAGCAGGGTACTCTGCTTCCAAAAGACATCAGCCTAGGAACCAACCTGACCCACCCCAGAAAAAGAGGCAAATTCTAACCTTGTGTACTCACAGGTGGACAGCTTTTTCTAATAGCATAAGGACGCTCTGCATGCCAGCCACAGCTCTGTTTTCTGACATTCCCGACTTAAGAATTCGGTGGGCAGTGTTTCCACCCATTATTATAATAAACCCAAGAGAAAGGCCGATTAATTTTCCTTTTCTAAAGGAGACAGCAGAAGCACACAGGGTAATCTGATAGCACTGCTGTGTGTATCAACTGTAAAATTTGTAAATAGACCATGCTGCCTCCCAGCACAATCTTTCTGCAGACCTGGTTGATGTTGATTATTTAAATCTTGGGTAGCTGAGAATGCCCTGTGTTCTCTGAGGAGGCTTTTGATGGACAAGGAATGGCAATCTGTTGAGGGATTCTTCTGAAGTTGTACCAACCTTCATGGCCAAGCTGCCCCCGGACTTCCAGTCAAGATAAAAATCTAAGTGTCCCTTGGCTGGGAAGCAGGTCTGCATAGAAGGTTCCCAGACAATGCAAGAGAAGCAAGAATCTCTCCATTGATGACACCAACTTGCTACCTCTCCCATCTTTCAATGCCCAGAAGGAGTGCTGTTCTGCATACATGGGATTTTGCAGGAATCTTCAGGCAATAAGCTTCAGATTATCTGCCATTCAAATGGGCCCTCGCTCACAGAGGGACCTCACAGAGGGAAGTAAGCTTCAGTCCAAACACACTCCAGCATCTGAACCTGGGCCTGGCATGCTAACAGGTCCTGCAGATAGTTCCAGAAACAGGAGTTCTGAGAACCGTTCTTCCTGCAATACCACCACAGGCCGTTCATGCCATGAGATGCAAGTCATCATCCCAGCTGTATAAATTGAGCAAGACTGACCTTGAAGATCCCTTCATTGAATGGCTGTCTTGGTGTCCTGGTATCTTGACAAACCACCACATACTTTCAAAACAGCTTCGTCTCTCAAAAGGACCTGGAAACATACTTGCAGTAGCCCAGTTAGGGGTTCTGCAGAGGAGGAGTAACTGGGATTGTGTGAATTGCCTGGAATAAAAACATAAAGAGGGAATGTAAAACTTAAAGTGGCCTGACCCATATTTTTGGGTTCAAAATTTCTGTAGAATGAAATGCTTTTATGTATAAAGACAAAGAGTTGAGAACTGAGAGTAGATAGGGATTTGTATTTCACAAGGACAGCTTACATCTTTAAATTTAGGCGTGAAGGATTTATTCAGGCCAGACTGTGAAGTACTTCCTCAAATTTCCCACTGGGTTCCCCCTCCACCACACAAAAGTAGGCTGCATGAGCTGGGTTGTTATCTGAAAACACGTCACAAAGGCATGTGTGTGGTCTAGAAATGTCTTTGCAATCTGGCAGATAATTCTTCCTTCCATAGCTTCCCTTGGAAGAACCTCAATCTCATTATCACCTGCCATCTTAGAAGGGGTTGCTCACATTCATGGCATGCAGTTAGGAGAATGAAGACAGGTTAAGAGGGATATGAGATCTGAAGAGGCACCCAAGGAGGTCTGGGTGTAGGCTCACAGACGGAAGGTCAGTTTTGTTTACTCTTATTGTGGTTTAACGTAAGCTGATGTGTCTGAACACTTGCTCTCCAGTGTTTGTTCTGTTTTGGAAGGTTGTGGAACCTTTAGGTGAACCTTTTGTTGGAGGAAGTGGGTCACTGGGTGGGTGCAGGGGATCTTGAGGTTTTATGTCCTGGCCCCGTTTCCTGTCCCTTCTCTACATCCTGTTCCACCAAGCTGTGAGGAGGAGAGGCGTCCCAGCCACACACTCCTGTCACCACGGAGCTGCTGCTGCCTTGCCTTGCCCACACACAGCAGAAATGTCCCCTCAAACTGTGAGCACAAATTAACTTTTCCTTTCTTGAGTTTCCTTTGTTTGGGTATTTTTGTCACAATGAGAAAAGTAGCGTTCGTTGCCCTTCATCTTTACAAGTAGATCTCTGCCTAGTTCACCAAAAGCCAGAGGCACTCCCCAGTCTTGCCTGATTTGAGTTAGTACTTTCTCATCCCAAGTCAACAGCTGACCACATTGTATACTCTGTCTCAAAGGGCTACAGGTCTATATATCCAGGATGTACAATGTGCTCTATGACTACAGGTTTCTACCGCTTTATCAACACCCTTGGACTCTTTTTCGATTTCTACCACTTTGAACAATTCCCAGAGCTTGTACAGAGTAGAACTACTACTGTCTAGGATTTACTCCTCTCAAGAAGACAGCTCTATGGTAGAACCGAAGCCACAGTCAACAGCTCTCTTCTGGCAAAACAAGAAGCCCAGACCTTGACTATCTTGCATTCACGGCATTTCCTAGATGAGGTTTGTTGGGCCACAATGGGCGAAACTAAGGGTAATTAATTAGGTTCTTTCCACTTTCTCCCTTGTTATAACAGACACTCCATTAGAGACCATGGTAGAAACAAAAGTAGAGACTGCCACTGTCTCTTTGGGCCTCAAGTCATTCAAATGTAGAACAAATTAGCAGATGACAGAAGCTTCCATCTGGCTCTTAAAGTTGTACAGTTCTATCATGCTATTCTGTTAATCTGGCCCACATTTCAATGTATGTAAATGTAAGGAAGTCTCATATAGTCATCTAATTTACATGAGTTTGACTCTACAAGTTCTGTTTCTCATATTTAGTTAAAAATAGCATAAAGCTACCTTTTACATGTATATATACATTTTATGTTTATATAGATATGATACGAAACCTTACATAACTAATTTATGGGTGATTTAGAAGTTTCTCTAGCTTACCTTTATCATATCCAACAGTAGAACCTAAATCCACAAAAGCTGGGATGCTCCTGTGATTTATGACTGTGTGACTCAGGAGATGATAGACTATAGAGAAAAGAATGTAGCTCTCCAAAAGACTGGCCTGGGTTTGAATCCTACAGTGGAATCTTGGTTGGTCACATATTAATTGTATGATCTTAGACAAGTTATTTAAGTTTGTCCAGCTTCTTTATCAACAGATAGGAGGAATAATGGCCACTTTAAGAAGACTTAGTTAAAGATGCAGAGACCCAAAGCCAGCCATTAGGTGGATCTCAGGAATTCTGTGGAAGATGGGGAGGAAGGATTGCAGGAGTCAGAGGGGTCAAGGACACCACAAGAAAACCTACATAACCAACTAACCTGAGCTTATTGGGGCTCACAGAGACTGAACAGACAACCAGGGAGCCTGCATGGGACTGACCTAGATAGGCCCTCTGCATATATGTGACAGTTGTATAACTTGGTCTTTGTGTGAGACTCCTAACAGTGAAAGCACGGACTGTCTCTGACTCTGTTGCCTATTTTGGGGACCCTTTCCTCCTACCGGATTGCCTCATCCAGCCTTAACAGAAGAGGAGGTGCCTAGTCTCACTGCAACTTGATATACCATGGCTGGCTGATATCCATAGGCTGCAGCTTGTATCTGAAGAGAAACAGTGGAGGAGGGGTGAATGGGGTGGGGGGAGGGGGAGAGAAACTGGAAAGAAGGAAAGGAAGGGAAACTTGGATTGGGATATAAAACAAAACATTAAATAACAAACAAACAAACTCAGTTACATAGTATATGTGCCACTTACTAGAGTACCTGGGACAGTATATCTCTTGGAGTATGATATGTTTTGATTGGCGTGTATATGAGCCAAACCACATATACTTACCTATCTGATGCTATTTTACATAGTCAAATCAAGTATTTCAGCTGCCATTAACGCCCATAAGAGAAATTATCTAGTGTGTCTCTGATGACCCACAGATCAGACTTTCCTATGGCAGGACAAATTCAGCAGAGGAATGTGGCCATGTAAACTTGCATTCTATACTTTCCTCAAGCATCATATTAACATGTTAAAGTATAAGATGCCATCAGTGGTTCATAGGAAGCTGAAAAGAATCTCAATAGGAGTCGTACCATCACTGCCTGATGGTAGGTCCCTGAAGAAAGGGAGCAGGCCTTCATGTCTTCCTTAGAAGAGCTTCATTAGGAGAGACAGCTGTCATGGGTAGCATGACAGGGACCCTCCAGGAAGAGAAGGACCATCCAGTTCTGAAGGACAAAGGGAATCTTGCTGTTACAGGTTTTGGGAGAGAGCTATCTCCTGGGCTGTGTAGATAAGTCCATATCCCAGAGTCTAGCCTATATGCCAAGTCATAAAACAAAAGAAAAAAACCCTCACTGGATAAAAGTAAGGTTATAATTCAAGGTTGTCCTGGGCTTTGGTGTCAGGGGGTCTGGGCTTCCAGTTGCCAAGGGGAGGGGGACTGACTGCAAGGCTGTAAGCAGGCTTGCTTAGTAACTCTATCCAGAGATCTGCAGAGGCAGGGGACACAGCCTGATCTTTGATAGAGAGAGAAAGTGACAGCTTGGAGGATCTGTGAGTTAACAAAAGGGCCTGGGAAGCTTTACAGAAAAAAACACGTGCTGAGTAGGTTTAACTTAGTTTTCTGACACCCTGCAGCTCTTAATTCATATGATATTCCTAGGGCCATATTTGCAGAGCCCAAAATACACTCCTGGAACATTTCTAAGGTGCACAATTAGTAAGGGCCTGGGTCATTATGGACATAGGAAACTCTATCTTCCAGGAGTCCCTGGCTAGACAAATAGGCTCAGCTGTCAGACAGAGTAGGTTAGTCACTCTAGATGACACTGACTTTAGGATCACTTGGGCCACTTGGTAAAAATGAGTATTCCTTAGCTACACTCCAATTTGTTGGACGAGAGAAGACTCTCAGAACTGTGAACTTGAACTGGGCATCACAAGCACCAAACTAAAGTTGGAGGTGCACTGGCTAGGTGCTGGGAGTTCAAGTCAACTGGGGAGAGACAGCAAGCCTCTCCTCTTCCCCCTCCCTTATGCAGCCCCTAGAGCTGATTTAGGTCATGAACCAGAGATGCCGGAAGAAGAAATAAATCCTTCCTACCTCTTCACATAGGTGGCTTTAGTGGACCGCCATTGGTTGTCACATCTATGAGTCCCTTTAATGAAGAGACTGCTTTCCTTTGACCGCTTTACTGAACTACTGCAGGTGCTGCTAAAAGGTGTCACTTAAGAAAACCCCACTTCCAACCCGCTGCTGCGTTTGCACGAAAAGACCCAGTGTGGTGGCACTGGAGGAAAACAGCCCTGTGAGGTAGCAGGTCCCCCAGGAGTGGAGGTCAGAAAAGGATCAGGGTAGTTTTTCACTGTGAGAAGGGCATCGTGGAGACTGATGTTTTGCATCAGAGGCTCCAGGTATTACTATTCTTAGTACAGTCTCATGAGAGCAGAAGGGGCCAGAATCCTTGTTCTAGTCTCTTGGAATTTAAATGCTACCTCCTGGGCTGTGTAGATAAGTCCAACCTCTGGTTTTACAACACAGAAATCTCTAAGGTCTTGTCTCCATAACCCCTCCAAATGCTACCATGCCTCCCAAGAAGGAATTTGGGATCCTACCTTAAGCTAGAACCAATTGTCTCATAAGGAGATTGGAACTGTTTGCTTTTTATTTCCAGCATGCTGATCTCTAAAACATGCAGAATTTCAGCCTGCCTTTGCACTCTGTGGCTCACTATATGCATGGGCTGAATAATAAAATAGGTGTCTTTATTTCCACCTTGGCTAGAGAGGTCTTTGTTTGCTGCCTGGAGCCTCCAACTGTCCTATGGAAGGATGGAAGTCAGCCGTTCCATGCCAGGCAGAGCTGTGACGGTCCTTCAGTTGTGAAGACACTGTATACTACTAATTTGCTGTGGCCCGTGGTAGCTGGCGGTGGAGGAGTTGGAGAGGAACGACAAGGGACAGGAGCACATTGAGCAAGAGCAGTTAGAGTGTGGTGGCTGGACAGGGTGAAGCCCCCCCCCCCCACACCCAGTATTGATCCTTCCTCTTTCTCCTTCATGGAATGAGGTCCCTCACCCACTTGAGTGAGTGGAAATCCCATTTCTGCTTCCTCTCTACTCCCCATCTCCTTTTCCCTCATCTGGAGAGAGAATGAAGCAAGGAAGGAAGCCTAGACTTGTACAGATCAGGAGG